GTCAGTACCAGGCTGGTGAAACCCACAAAAACAGCTGGCTTGAACAAGGGGGAACAGATCGGACCCCAGACTGCTGTCTGGAAGGCCAGTACAGGACTGATCCAGACCCCCGAACATGAATGTCAATGAGGAGGCCTCTGCACTCTAGGGGGCCCCTGGTAATGGATTGGTATTTTTCCCTGGTGTAAGAAGAGACTTTGAGAGCCCATCCCATGTGAAGGGATGCACTCTTGGACTGGACACATGGGGGAGGGCCTTGGCCCAGCCCAGGATGATGTGGTGGACTTTGAGGAGCCCCCGTTGAGGGCCCTACCCTGCCTGCCTGGGGAGTGGAGGGCGGATGGAGTGGGGGGTAGGTCGGGGGTGAGGGGAGGGAGAGGAAGAAGGGATATGTGAAATAAGCTTGTTCCTAATTTGAACTAATAAAAAAAAGTCAAAAAAAAAAAAAAAAGAATAGGTATAGAACAAGGTGAAGAAATTCAGCTCAAAGGTACAGAAAATATATTCAACAAAATCATAGAAGAATAAATACTTCTCCAACCTAAAGTAGGATATGCCTATGCAAGTACAAGGAGCTTACAGAACACCAAATAGATTGGACCACAAAAAGAAGTCCCCTCTCCACATAATAATCAAAATACCAAACTGACAGAATAAATAAAAAATATTAAGAGCAGCAAAAGAAAAGGGCCAAGCAACATATAAAGGCAGACCTATCCGAATTACACCTGACTTCTCGATGGAAACTTTGAAAGCCAGAAGATCCTGGATAGATATTCTACAAACGCTAAGGGAACATGGATGCCAGCCCAGACTACTATATCCATCAAAGCTTTCAATCACTATAGATGGAGAAAACAAGATACTCCATGACGAAACCAGATTTAAGCAATACATATCCACAAATTCAGCCCTACAGAAATTACTGGAAGGAAAACTCCAACCCAACGAAGATGACTACACTCAAAAAACCATAGGCAATAGATATTCCCACTTTACCAAACACCAAAAGAAAAAAGATGAGAAATACACACATAATAACACCACCAACAACAAATTCAAAACAAACAAGAATCAACAATCGATGTCAATGGTCTTAACATGCCTATCAAAAGATACAGGCTAACAAAATGGATACAAAGACAGAATCCATCCTTCTGCTGCATACAAGAAACACATCTCAATGTGAAAGACAGATGTTCCCTCAGAGTAAAGGGTTGGGAAAAGACTTTCCAATCAAATGGACCCAAAAAACAAGCTGGTGCAGCAATCCTAATATCTAACAAATTAGACTTCAAACTAAAATCAATTAAAAGGGATGAAGAAGGGCACAGGAAAAGTCCATCAAGATCAAGTCTCAACCCTGAACATCTATACCCCAAATACAAAGGCACCCACATTTGTAAAAGAAACATTAGTAAAGCTCAAATCACACATAAAACCTTGGTACCCAAGCCACACAAAGACACAACTAAGAGAGAACTACAGACCAATATCCCTCATGAACATAGATGCAAAAATACTCAATAAAATACTGGCAAAATCAAATCCAAGAACATTTCAGAGAAATCATCCACCATGATCAAGTAGGCTTCTTCCCAGGGATGGAAGGCAAGTTCAACATACGGAAATCCATCAATGTAATCTACCATATAAACAGACTGAAAAAGAAAAACCATATGATCATCTCACTAGATGCTGAAAAAGCCTTTGACAAAATCCAACACCCCTTCATGATAAAGGTCCTGGAGAGATCAGGAATAAGAGGAACATACCTGAATATAATAAAACCAATATACAGTAAGCCAACAGCCAACATCAAACTAAATGGAGAGAAACTCAAAGCTAATCCTCTAAAATCAGGAACAAGAAAAGTCCACATTCTCCATATCTCTTCAATATTGTCCTTTAAGTTCTAGCTAGAACAATAAGAGAACAAAAGGAGATCAAGGGGATACAAACTGGAAAGGAAGAAGTCAAGCTTTCACTGTTTACAGATGATATGATAGTCTAACATAACTGAACCAAAAAACTCTACCAGGGAACACCTACAGCTGATAAACACCTTCAGAAAAGTGGCAGGATACAAGATTAACTCTAAAAAAATCAGTAGCCCTACTATATACAGACAATAAATGGGGTGAGAAAGAAATCAGAGAAACATCACCTTTTACAATAGCCACAAAAAACATTTTGGGGTAACGCTAACCAGACAAGTGAAAGACCTTTATAGCAAGAACTTTGAGTCATTAAAGAAAGAAATTAAAGGAGATAACAGAAAATGAAAAGATCTGCCATGCTCTTGGATAGGTAGGATCAACAAAGTAAAAATGGAAATCTTGTCAAAAGCAATCTACAGATTCAATGCAATCCCCATCAAAATCCCAGCACAATTCTTCACAGACCTTGAAAGAATAATATTCAGCTTTATATGGAAAAACACAAGACCCAGGAGACATAAAACAACCCTGTACAATAAAGGAACTTCCGGAGGCATCACCACCCCTGACTTCAAACTGTATTATAGAGATATAGTTCTGAAAACAGCTTGGCATTGGCACAAAAATAGACAGGTAGACCAATAGAATCTAGTTGAAAACTCTGATTTTAACCCACATACCTACAAACACCTGATTTTTGACAAAGAAGCCAAAATTATACAAGAGAATAAAGAGAGCTCTTTCAACAAATGGTGCTGGCACAACTGGATAGATCCACATCTATTGCAATGCACAAAACTTAAGTCCAAATGGATCAAAGACCTCAACAAAAATCCAGCCACACTGAACCTATTAGAAGAGAAAGCGTGAGGTACCCTTGAAAAATTGGTACAGGAGCCCTCCAGAACATAACACCAATAGCACAGACACTAAGATCTACAATTAATAAATGGGACCTCCTGAAAGTGAGAAGCTTCTGTAAGGCAAAGGACACAGCCCACAGACAAAATGACAGCCCACAGAATGGGAAAAGATATTCACCAACCCATCTGACAGAGGGCTGATTTCCAAAATATACAAAGAACTCAAGGAGCTAGTCTCCACAACACCAAATAATCCAATTAAAAAGTGGGGTACAGAACTAAATAGAGAATTCTCAATAGAGGAGTCTAAAACGGCTGATAGACACTTAAGAAACTGGTCAATACCCTTAGCCATCAGGGAAATGCAAATCAAAACAACTCTGAGATACCATCTTGCTTTTGTCATAATGGCTAAAATCAAAAACACCAATGACATTTTATGCTGTAGAGGATGTGGAGAAAGTGAACACTCCCCCACTGCTGATAGGAGTGCCAACTGGTACAGCCACTTTGGAAATCAGTATGGAGATTTCTCAGGAAAATGGAAATCAATCTACCACAAGATACAGCAATTCCCCACTTAGGCATATACCCAAAAGAAGCACATTCATACAATAAGGACATCTCTTTAACTATGTTCATAGCAGCATTATTTGTAATAGCCAGAATCTGGAAGCAACCTAGATGCCCCTCACCTGAAGAATAGATAGAGAAAATGTGGTACATTTACACAATGAGTACTACTCAATGGAAAAAAAACAAAAAAAAACAAAAAAACTATGGAATCTTGAAATTCACAGGCAAATGGATGGACTAAAAGAAACCATCCTGAGTGAGGTAACCCAGTCACACAAAGACAAACATGGTATGTACTCAATCATATATGGATTTTAGACATAGAGCAAAGGATTACCAGACTAGAATCCACACTGCCAAAGAAGCTAGGAAACAAGGAGGACCCTAAGAGAGACATGCATGGTCTCTTGGAGAAGGGGAAAGGGACAAGATCTCCTGAGCAAATTGGGAGCATGTGGGGAGGGGAGAGGGAGCTAGGAGAAAGAGAAGGGGAGAAGAGGACATGAGGGATCAGGGAGGTTGAGTCGGGAGAAGAATTGAGGAGAGCAAGAAAGGAGATACCATAATAGAGGGAGCCATTATAGGTTTAAAGAGAAATTTGGCACTAGGGAAATGTCCAGAGATCTACAAGGACGACACTAACTACAATCTACGCAATAGTGGAGAGGCTACCTTAAATGCCCTTCCCTAATAATAAGAGTGATGACTACCTTATATGCCATCCTAGAGCCTTCATCCAGTAGCTGGTGGAAGCAGAAGCAGACACCCACAGCTAAACACTGGGCCAAACTCCTGGAATCCAGTTGCAGAGAGGGAGTGATGAGCAAAGGGGTCAAGACCTGGCTAGAGAAACAGCTGATATGAACAAGGTGGAGCTCATGGAGCCTACAGTGATAGCTGGGAAACCAGCATAGGACTGTCCCAGACCCCTTGAATGTGGTTAGTAGGCCTGGGCAATATATGGGGCCTCTGGCAGTGGATCAGTATTTATCCGTAGTATACGAATGGACTTTGGGAGCCCTCTCCACACAGAGGGATACTCTCTCAGCCTAGACACACAGGGGAGGTCCTAGGCCCTGCACCAAATGATATGACAGACTTCCTCCCAGGGGAAAAGTAAGGGGATGGGATAGGGTGTTGGTGAGGGACAGGAGAGGAGGTGAGGGAGAGGTAACTGGGATTGACATGTAAAATAAGCTTGTTTCTAATTTAAATTTTTAAAAAAAGGAAAAAAAAACCAAACTCAGGGCAGAAAGGGGGAAAAACAATGTACCTAAATTATGCACAAACTACAGACTATCTTAAATCACAGCAATTAGAAAAAGAGGACAAGCCACTCTATGGCCTAGATTTGGAAAAGTGGTGTGTGCTGATTGACAAGAACTGTATGTTAGACAATTATAAGCTGCCTCCAACACAATGGGATAAAAACTTGGCATTGTCTTGAACTAAAACAGCTGGTTGTCCTTGATTTTCCAACTAAAGTCAAGTAGTGAGGTGTCTGTAAGGAGGAAATGCAGAAATCTTTCCAGGCTGTACCTTACACTACAGCACTGTGCAAACCCATATGCCATTCTCAACCCTCCCTGTCTCATGCCTCCTTGCCTACTTAGCCATTTACCTTGCATTAGTCTAGTTACACTTCTTCTGCCAGGAATCCATTTTTTCAGATCATTTCGCCAATTATCCATGGACATTAGCTTGGACTGTGAAACATTAAACTTTATCATGGCTTCTTTCTGGAAATCTTTTCATTTTTATTTCTCATCTCTGTGCATGCCAAACCTAGAAACGGAGAACCAGGCCAAGTATGACACTAGTATATACCTGTAATCTCACCACTTGGGAGAAAGATGGAAAATTTAGGGTTGAAGTCAGCCTAAGCTATCTGACACCTTAGAACAGGGTGGGAAAGCTGGGCAGAGAGTAGGTGAACCGAGACTGAGAGGGGAGAGGTAGAGCGATAAGAAGGGGAAGGGGAATACTGAGCAGGCAGGAACCAACAAGCATGAGCCAGACCGGAGATAACTGGAAGGAGTCTAATTTTGCCCACCAACAATATGCCTGTGTTTAGGTCACTCAATTTACCATGCTGTTGTCATGGTTACACCATGCTTAAACCATAGGCTCTAAAACACCAGTTATAATCACTTTGCAGCAAGGCCCCATTTCACACTCTTACCCAAAATGAAAACTCCATTGGTATTCCACTCAGAGCACTGGAGGTCTGCCTGTGCCACACTCCTTCCTCACAGCAACGTGAAGCCCACAGTCTGGAAGGATGAGATCCTAGGGAAAGTAGACATGACAGGAAAGCAGAACACAAAAAGGAAGTGAATCAGAATCAGACTTTTCCAACCTTGGGAGGAGGGGGGGCGGCGGTGGTAGTGGTATTCTTATTTGGGAGCTTTAACCCAAATGCTCAAAGCC